AAAAATGTCGTAAATTATACCTGAACATATTTCTTAAGTATAATATTTATATCTATGTATCTTCTTGATCAAACTGAATTTGTTTTAAAAGGGTTCATTAAAAACTAAGAGTACCAATTATTAATTTAGCAGTTTTGGTGTTTTCTTTTATAATGACTCATTATATTTAGTTGGAATCATTAGAAAACGTCGAAGACATATTTCTCTACAATTAAGCGTTTATTTTACTCAAATCCGTTCAGTAGTTTCCAAACAGTTTCCAAAAAGCATAACAAACTTAAAAACCTTATGTAATGTTTTTGATATTTTTGGCGTTTAAAATTTAACGGCTGGATTTTTTTTGTTAAAACTTTAAGATACATACAAGGGCACATTTCTCTAGATTTTGGTGTATAGTTTCCACAAATTAAAGCAAAAATTGTTTTCGACTTACAAAAAAGGCAGAATGTCCCTTTAATCAAATATTGTGGGAAAAATAAAAAAATTTGGACCAATATCATTAAAAAAAAAATATATCTGTCTTATCTTTTTGATAAATTCAGACAGAAAAAGAATACAGCCAATCAGAGCACTCCACAGAAAGTCTATTATCAATAAGTCTTGCTATCAAGGGCTCTGATTGGCTGTATTCGTTGGCATACAATCCTATCAAACCACTACATTTACAAACTTCTATAATGGCTAATGCAGTCAAGGTATTAGACAAATATGATAATATCTTGACTTTGTGAACATTAAGGGATCATTGCAACTTAACCGCTCAAATCAAAATCAGATTCAAAAACAAATTTACCTTTTTATGAACAGATATCAGTGATACGTCTTTAACAATTTCCTCTAGCTCCGGAGATTTGCTGAATACAGAATCCATGAATCTATTAATAGATTTCAACAGGTTATAAAAAACTTCAAATCTTTTACTCGACTGTTCTAATACTTTCACTACACCATTGAAGGATTCGTCTATTAACATGGATCTGGATGAAATATAACTCCTACAAAACAGAAATATAAAACGTAACTTAAAGGGATTGTAAAGAGGTTTTCCAGCCTTTTTATGGGTATCAGGGACACCTTTGACTTCTATTTGGGACATTCCAATTTTTCTTCCGATGACTGTGGCTCGTGCAATTCCAGAAAGAGTTAATTGGAAATGACGTAGTTCCTGCAAGAATTTGTAACCATTATACCACCAGACCACAATAATGTAATAATATATGTTATCTCCCCTTACAGATGGTAATATTTCTAACTAAAAATTGCTGACTCATTCACATTTTGCTTCACCGTTGCCTTATATAACTCTTTACTACGTCTTAGTTAGTTTTAACAGAATGGAAGAGTTGTAGGATATTGTGCAAATCAGAGTGCTAAATATCCTTATATATGATAAAATGTTGCGTTTTGAATACAGTGAAGTGAACATTTGGTAAATCAAGTTAGTTTTTCAGATCCACTATTACTGGACTAACTTTATTTAGCAAATGTTCACCTCACTGTAATTAAACAATGGTGCAAAACAAAGTGTTTACAAACAACTGTTAACTAACAGATTAAAGAAGAGAGGGACAATAAAAAAATCAACCTTAAAAGAAAAAAAAGAATTTTTGATCTTTCTTGATCACTCATTGGAATTCTGCGAGTAATTCTCTTCTAATTTAGCTAATTATGAATTAATTATAGACATGTGAGACAAACTGGTATTTTCAAGTCATTAGAACCACTTTCTATTCATATAAGAATTAACATTTTTATCTTTATGAATGAAAATAAGGGAAACTATCCTTAAGTTACCTTAAAAACTGTTCCCCTTCCACTAAACATTTCTGATTATTGACCAAAGTATCTGTGATTGCTTTGATATAGTAACTTCTCGAGGAGCATTGAAAAACAATTTTGCTATCTCTATCATAGTCAGGATAAGTTGATTTGAAGTCAGGGAACGTGGCTGAAATGAAATGAAAAGGAGTTTTGCATCCTGATATTCTGCAAAAAAAGCAAAACCATACAAGGGAAAAAATACAAGAAAAAAGGAAATAGAAAATCATCAGAGGTTATATATAGAGGCAGTAAGTTTTTACTTCTGTCAATAATAACTATCACAGGTCAGATATAGAGTCAGTAAGTTTTTACCTCTGTCAATAATAACTATCAGAGGTCAGAAATAGAGTCAGTAAGTTTTTACTTCTGTCAATAATAACTATCAGAGGTCAGATATAGAGTCAGTAAGTTTTTACCTCTGTCAATAATAACTATCAGAGGTCAGATATAGTCAGTAAGTTTTTACTTCTGTCAATAATAACTATCAGAGGTCAGATATAGAGTCAGTAAGTTTTTACTTCTATCAATAATAACTATCACAGGCCAGATATAGAGTCAGTTAGTTTTTACTTCTGTCAATAATAACTATCACAGGTCAGATATAGAGTCAGTAAGTTTTTACTTCTATCAATAATAACTATCACAGGCCAGATATAGAGTCAGTTAGTTTTTACTTCTGTCAATAATAACTATCAGAGGTCAGATATAGAGTCTGTAAGTTTTTACCTCTGTCAATAATAACTATCAGAGGTCAGATATAAAGTCAGTAAGTTTTTACTTCTGTCAATAATAACTATCACAGGTCAGATATAGAGTCTGTAAGTTTTTACCTCTGTCAATAATAACTATCAGAGGTCAGATATAGAGTCAGTAAGTTTTTACCTTTGTCAATAATAACTATCAAAGTCTAACTATCAAATACAGAGTTAAATGTTAAAGATATCTTACCAGGCAAGGTAAAATACGTCCACTGGCAGCTTTGTTTGAAAATGAACATTGAAGAACAAGGGCAATAACTCATATCAAATAATTTTCGATATTTTTGATTTTCGATAGGGTTCATCCTTGGGTGACAATACACAATTTCACAAAGTTTCATCAAAATCCATCATGAATTGTGCCCTGCAGAGTGTTTACAAGCTAAAAATTGAACGCGTTTTGAAGAACAAAGGGCAATAACTCATATTAAATATTTTTCGATCTTTTTGATTTTCAATAGGGTTTATCCTTGGGTGATAATAAACAACTTCACCAAGTTTCTTTAAAATCCAGCAAGAATTGTGGCATTAGGAGTGTTTACAAGCTAAAAGTTGAAAGCGTTTTGATGAACAAGGGCTATTGCCCTACTCATATTAAATATTTTTCGATTTTTTTGATTTTCAATAGGGTTAATCCTTGGGTGATAATAAACAACTTCACAAAATTTGGTCAAAATCCAGCAAAAATTGTGGCATGTAGAGTGTTTACAAGCTAAAAATTGAACGCGTTTTGAAGAACAAGGGCAATAACTCGAATTAAATATTTTCCAATTTTTCTGATTTTCAATAGGGTTCATCCCTGGGTGATAATAAACAATTTCAGTAAGTTTCGTCCATATCCGTCAAGAATTGTGCCTTCTAAAGTGTTTACAAGCAAATTGTGGACGGACGGACATGGGTGACGACAATATACGCTCCACATTTTATGTGTGCGTATAAAAATTAGGGAAATACATACGTAAATCAGGCAGATACAAAGGTTGAATTTCATCTGTATAAGTAGAATTATATACATAAAGCTGTGATTTGAGAAGATATTTTGGATAGGTTTCTATAGGAGCTAATTGATCTATCTCATGTTTAACCAAACGACCCATATATAAGAGAATCTGCTGACTTGCTGGAATCTCTGTCTGTTCAGCTATACTATCTTGTAGAACAGATAATCTAAAATAAATGAAACAATTGCTTTAGCAATAGATTTGATCTAAGGCTCATCCAGAATAAGAGGAAAACTAGCTTATTGCCAATTTTGGGAGACTTAGGGAGAAGTGATTATATTTTAATTTATGTAAATTCGACCAAAACATTTTAACCTCCTATTGTATTTTTTTCTGAAAATATAATGAATTCATTTGTGATTTTGAACACAGACATTTTGAATCAATTTGTATCTCTGATACACAAGAAGTCACAGAGAAACTGTATACAGCCTTTACCTTTGCTACAGTCTTGTAAGTATTGGGTATCCATTGATGTAATATGGAAATGGCAGTGTCTATTTACCACACCGAAAATATTAATTCGAAACCTGGCCTTGTTAAAATTGAAATAGAAATGTCTATACTTACGATGCTTTACTATTTACATATATACTTAAATTAGTACATGTCGCATAATGAAAAACTTTAACTACAATACAACTACAAATATTATTAGTTACAATATCATACAATTGATCATGATTGATCATCCTGTGTTGATCAGTCTCCATTAATCCAGCTAGTAATGGTACTAACATTTTCTTTAAACCACTGAAAATAACAAAAGACATAGTATTCAGTCACTAGAACAACAAACAATTTTCAATTGCACCACCAATAAAATGGTTTGTACGCCCAAATTTCAACACATAATTCGTGTTTGCCCTACAATGTGTCAGAATATACCAAATAGATTCAAATTTCCATTACAGCGCTTCCGCATCCTGAATTTCAACGCTGATAGTTGACCCGACCCCTTATTTTGGTACCTGGCTCTACCACTGGTTGAATTGTTGTCTGGTTAATGCAATGTATTTAAAGCGTCTTGATGGAAGGAATTGTGAATTCCATGACCAGTTCATTAAAGAATTGGACTGGAGCCAACCCTTAAAGGGATTGTAAAGATGTTTTCTAAATTTTTTATGTGTATCAGGGATACTGATATCATCAGTTCCTTCAATTCCACTTAAACTAAGTGTTTTATGACGTCACTAATCGTGAATTCCTTCCGCGATAAAGCATATTTTGCAACTAGTGATGTCATCGGACACTTAGTTTTAGTAGCATTGCAGGAACCACAGACATCTGACTAAAATTGGAATGGTGCAAATTGATGCTATCAGTGTCCCCGATGCACATAAAATTTTTAGAAAACCAATTCCTTTAATTTTGGAAAACATTCAGGAGTGTCAGCAGATTGAGACCTACCTGGATAAGAGACAAGTATGGGGCAGCTCTCGACTCCAAGTTATGGGACCATTTTCGAAATGTTGAGTTCCAGATATGACACCAGTTTCTTTCTGTGATATTATCTTAAACCTGAAAACAAATAAAATCCATCAAAATAGGTTAAAATAACTTTTCAACTAAGTGAGTCAAGTAAATAGACTTGGAACTAATTATTTTCATTTTCTGTATCCCTTTTAAAAGTTAATTTTCTAGTACTGATCCATCTACAATTTGATCAAATTTTTCTGCATTCATACAGATGAAAGTGACAAAAGCTTAATTTTTAATGGATGCCTGATGCTTTATTTCACTCACTAAAATTTGAATTTGATTTTATTCGATTGAAGGTAAACTAGATACTGAATTTTCAATCTGAGAAGCGTTACAGGTAGCCAAGAATGACTTCCAGTGGCTTGATGATTATGGTAATAGAAGATCATACTTTCGAAAAACTAGGAATCCATGTCCTTATGTATTTGAATCTTGGCATGGACATATGTGGTGCTAATGGAAATAAAAAATTTCAAAAAGAAGAATAAAAGACTTACATGGTTTCTCTATTACTGCGACCACCATGGGGGGTAAATGGTAGTTTACCTGTAGCACAGTGGTAAAACGTGACCCCAAGTGACCAAAGATCTACCCTACTATCAAAGGTTTGACCAGTTGGTAGCCGCAATACAGCCGTTTCATACATGGCAGGGTACTAAAAAAAAAAAAATGGCTACATGAATATAAATTTTTATAGAAACATATTGGTTCTAAAAGATGGTTGTCAGTGACATAGACCAACAAAATCAGGCCAAAGATTTTTTTTTTTAAGGGAAATATTTTTGATGAACTACTAACTTATCTTCCTGATCCAACTTCATATCCTTCCTAAGTTTCATCAACAGTGTCATGAAAATTCTAACCTCTATCCCTTAAACAAGCCAGTTTACCATGTTAAATCAAGGGCAACTACTCAGCAATGCTTCATTGAAATATTTTCAATTTCAAATTTGCCTGAGATCTTATTAACGTCTTGCATACTTAGTTTCATCATACACTCCAGCATTTTATACAGAAGCAAATTTAGGTAAGTTTTAAATCATGACAGGTCAAGGTAAAGTAAGAATAAGACTCATAGGTCTAGAGTGTTACATACTAAATATTCTTCGGTTCCATACATTGAAGTAAAATTTTCTTCTTCTTCTAATTTGCGAGCTGCCCCAAAATCTGTCAGCTTAAAAATAACTCTGAAATTGAAAAAGGTATGATCCAACTTTGTGATGCAATTGATAATGAATACATTATGCGTTTAGTTAAAGATGGGTTGCCTTTTGTCATTTATGAAAATGAAAATGATAGTGCTTATATGAATAGAATGTAGAGATGTTCTAATGATTTAGAAAAATATCAGTTTGTCTCACATGTCCATAATTTATTTATAATTAACTAAATTAAAAGAGAATAACAAGCAGAATTCCAATAAGTGAACCATCAAAAAAGTCAAAAAGTCTTTTTTTTTGTTTATCCAGACTTTATATACATGGACTTTTATTATTGGTTAAAACTCTAAATTATATGCAATAAGAACACAATGATATGATTAAGAATACATGATAATTCATTAGAAACACCAATTAATCAAATAGTTTGCTTAATTTGACACTAAAAAATAAGGAAACCCATCTTTAAGTCAAGTATCTATATGATTAGAGCTGGTAAAATGATTGAATCAATTATAGTCGAATTAATAATTTTGATTATCCTTTTTCAATGTCTCCACTGTACCCATTAACAAGTAGTAATCTCTTCCACTTCCAGAATCATTTCAGTACAACTTAGCCACAATAAACTATAATAACAGATTAAAGCAAGAATATACTTCTATGAGGCAAAAATAACCCTTGACATTAAGACTTTCAGTATGTTTTAAATTTAGTATTAACAGGGTTTCTCAATTGAATTATTTCGAATATTAATTGATTATACATATGATACTATAGGATACATGATGAATTAAAAATCTGTGTGTTACATGATACACAACAATTTATATATTATGTATATGATACATATTATATCAACAGTCTATGCATGGTACATCAACCATGTACTTTGTTTACTAGCTTAAACTGTCTACAATTCATCATGTGTCAATAATATGGGTGATACATGATACATCAACTATCTATATATTACATTGTGTATCAATAATCAGTGTGATACATTTCGCTTTAACTGTCTACAATACATCATGTGTTAACTATATGGGTGATACATCAACTATCTATATATTACATTGTGTATCAATAATCAGTGTGATACATTTCACTTTTACTGTCTACAATACATCATGTGTCAACAATATGGGTGATACATAATGTATCAACTATCTATATATTACATTGTGTATCAATAATCAGTGTGATACATTTCGCTTTCACTGTCTACAATACATCATGTGTTAACTATATGGGTGATACATGATACATCAACTATCTATATATTACATTGTGTATCAATAATCAGTGTGATACATTTCGCTTTAACTGTCTACAATACATCATGTGTTAACTATATGGGTGATAAATGATACATCAACTATATGTTACATTATGTATCATTTAGATAGTGAAATTAAAAATGTTTCTTACTCTCCCTGTTCTGTAAAACACCGCATAATATTGCCTGGTTTAATATCTCTATGGATGATTTCCAGACTTTGTAAATATTGAATACCTTTAACTGAAATTGAAAGTTATTGTCAGATCAATCAATGAGGCTTTGAAGTTTTAAATCTATGATTTGCTAATTTCGGGGGTTGATTTGGGTCTTGGATATATTATGTAAATAGTTTTCAAAACTACTAGAATTGCATGGAAATCCATTCAAATATACCTCAAAATACAAATTTCTCTTTCTATTTCTATATATGTATTTTCTATATATGGCGTAATATCAAGAAACGACGAGTCATCAATTCAAATTTCAAACGCAGATAATTGGATTTGAAGTTTCAAATTTCGACAATTAGCTGTGAACACTATTACTTATTAGCTCAATTCCTGTTGCTGTGACTAAGGTATGATTTGGTGGCAAACATGTTCGTTTAAAACTCTGGTTTCCAATCTGGGGTGTGGGACTAGGGTGCCAGGGTTGTGACCAACTGGTGTAGGAGAGAAAATTTTTTTGAATTGAGAGAGCAGCTCACATCATCACATGTTGAAAATGTGGATGGAAAAAATTAATTTTTGGAAGTGTGAAAGGTCCAGGTAATTGCTCCAAGGGTGTGAAGGCTGAAAAAGGTTGGGAACCACTGCTTTAAAATAAGTTTTACAGAAATTTGTTTGTTCCAAAATTGATAGTTATGAAATGCAAATATCAATGTATTTTCAGCAAAACAATATTAATTTTATAGCATTGATAACTTCATTGAGCTCTTCTGATATTACTTACCAACATGTTTGAGTACCAATAAAAATGTACTCTCTGATAAACCATAGGTATTTTGAGGTTGATCCAGAAGAGCATGGAGGCTGCCACCTTCACAATACTCCATAATAATAACAACAGACCCATTGAGAGACTGAAAAACAAAATGGAGTCCTGTATAACCAGACGCAGACAACAGATTTTAGATTTGAAGCTAAATGAGGTCTCTCCTTTTCTATTTCCAGATCATTATTATTTCCAAAAATTTTAAGGACAAAAATATCTTTTTGATAGTACTTTTTGTGAATTATAAGAGAAATGACCACAAAACATTTCTCATACTCAGCTTGGTTTTTACTTAAATTCATACTGCACCTCACATCAAGAAAAGGTAAAATTTGACATTTAATGTGATAATATGAGAAACATTGTGTCCTAGAGAATAAATTGAAATATTTTTTTGTTTTTGATACAATCAGTTATGCACCTGTAAAAAAAATTGTGTGGCCCATTCTGAAAAATTTCCATAAAAGGGGAAAACAATAAAAACTATATACTATTGTCCTGTTGGTCAACATTTGGACTATTTGCCTTCTTCAGAACCATTTCAGTAGCTTATGATCACATTTTTTTCGTCTTTCCTTTACTTATATTAAATAGAAATAAAAATATTAAATAAAAATAAAAATATTAAATATAAGTAAAGGAAAGACAGAAAGAAATGATATAGATAGCTGAAATTGGGCTCTGTTAATTGGCTATTTCCATTATAATGACCTCACCTGCTGCTCAATACCAAACAGACGGATAACGTTTTCATGATTGAGTTTTTGTAAAAGTTGCATTTCTCGATATTCCACATCATAGCCAGGTCGGTGTGTTTGTCTGAATTGTTTAATGGCAACAATATCTCCATTGACCTAGAATATACCAACACATAATCATGAAACACATGAAAAACCCGAACACAAATAAATATAAACACATGAAACACGCAAACACAAATAGATATAAACACATGAAACACGCAAACACAAATAGATATAAACACATGAAACTGCCAAACACAAATAGATATAAACACATGATACACCCAAACCCAAATAGATATAAACACATGATACACCCAAACGCAAATAGATATAAACACATGAAACAGCCAAACACAAATAGATATAAACACATGATACACACAAACACAAATAGATATAAACACATGAAACACCCAAACACAAATAGATATAAACACATGAAACAGCAAAACACAAATAGATATAAACACATGATACACACAAACGCAAATAGATATAAACACATGAAACAGCCAAACACAAATAAATATAAACACATGATACACACAAACACAAATAGATATAAACACATGGAACACCCAAACACAAATAGATATAAACACATGAAACACCCAAACACAGATAGATATAAACACATGAAACACCCAAACACAAATAGATATAAACACATGAAACACCCAAACACAAATAGATATAAACACATGCACAGACATGAAGCATATGAACACATTTAACAAATGAATAATGTGAATGATAGGTCCAAAAAAATACAACCTGTAACCCTTATCAATATTAATATTTTATTAGCACATTGATAATATTTGGGTAATTGTGATATTCCAAGATAGTAATAATTTGTGATATTACAAGATGATATCACTCCAGTATTTGTGATATTACAAGATGATCACACTTCAGTATTTGTGATATTACAAGATGATAATACTTCAGTATTTGCGATATCACAAGATGATAATACTTCAGTATTTGCAATATTACAAGATGATATTACTTCAGACTGAAGTCTTCAGTATTTGCGATATTACAAGATGATATCACTTCAGTATTTGCGATATTACAAGATGATATCACTTCAGTATTTGTGATAGCACAAGATGATATCACTTCAGTATTTGTGATATCACAAAATGATATCACTTCAGTATTTGTGATAGCACAAGATGATATCACTTCAGTATTTATGATATCACAAGATGATTATACTTGGATATTTGTGATATCACAAGATGGTAATACTTCAGTATTTGTGATAGTACAAGATATCACTTCAGTATTTGTGATATCACAAAATGATATCACTTCAGTATTTGTGATAGCACAAGATGATATCACTTCAGTATTTATGATATCACAATATGATTATACTTGGATATTTGTGATATCACAAGATGGTAATACTTCAGTATTTGTGATATCACAAGATGATGCCAATAATATTTGTGATATCACAAGATGATATCAATAATATTTGTGATATAACAAGATGGTAATACTTCAGTATTAGTGATATCACAAGATGATACCAATAATATTTGTGATATCACAAGATAATAATATTTGGGTATAAGCAAAACTGTTATTAACCATTTTTTCCTTGACATTAAAATTCGACCTTACAGATAAGACTTACTTTGTTTCTCCCCAAATATACATCAGCCGTGGCTCCTTTCCCTAAAACATCTGCATCATTCCAGGTGTAATTTTGGCTGGATTGTAGACCACCTTTAATAACTGGATATGACATGACATGACTGGCTTAATAGATGACCTACATTGAAACTCTCTTCAAATTTTGGATCTGAAAAAAAGTTACATGTTATGAGATACATTTTCACTATCATGTCATCTTCACAAAAGTAATTTTAAGGTGACTAATAAATTTGGAATGTTGCCAACAATGCTGTGATAGACAGTCTTATTCTTTCTTTAGCATAGGAGAGATCAATTTAGATACATAAGACACTACTGGTAAGATGTTTATATATTTGCTTTACCACCAGAGCTCACTTTCAGCTCTCCATAGCATTTTTCTTTAAATACATGTATCAAAAAGCTTAAAATTTTATTTTAACACCATTCATTCATTCATTCAAATTCTGTTCTTGAAATTTTTGAAAAAAAGGGTGTGAGCTGTAAATTTTTGCCATTTTTTGATCATCTATCTTGCTATAAGCTTATACAATGTGACATCATTGAGGACAATTTTTGACTTCCAAGTGAATTTGGTTTAGAAGACAAAATAAGATATTAACAAGAACAAAAACCTAATAACCACCTTTCCATTGAAAATAGTTAATGGGAATTTAATTATTATCATCACTAACAAAAAACATTACTAAGTTAACCAGCACTTGTAAATGAATAGTCCTTGCTTACGACCTAGGCCTGTGCTTTCTATGAGTTAAATTCTCATTTCACCATGACACCACAATTTGCTCAGTGGAAACACATGAAAGCTAGCTTAAAGCAGGCTTTTTCCCTCAGTCACAGAATGCTTTAATGAATCCTCAGTGATTTCAAATTCTCAAAAACTTACTATTCCTTTAAATTTATAAATCTTAATAATGTGTATTGATGTAAAAATCCCTCAAAAGTTCATAATAACCATCCATATTCAAACATATTTGTAAAAGTCATTTAGGCCTAATACAACAAAATATTCTCCCTCCTCCTGATTTTTTGTCACAAGTCTTTTCATAGATATGACCACGCTTGTTTTGTGCATATTGACATGTATTGCATCACAAATAAACCAGGAAATTTAAAGTGATACTAGTCTTAGAATGAACATAAAATTCAAACATTTTTAAACTGGGCCAATAAGAGCATATATTCATCAGTAGATATACCTGGTGTCATAAATAACATAACAGAACCCTATTATAATCCCATAATCCAAAAATACTTAATAAAAATGCAATCATTAACATTAAGCGTTTTTTAATAATTACTTAGTTTTATGAATATTCCAATTTTCAGATTTTCTAGATTTTACAGGGATTCTGTTGTAAATTTATGACACCAGGTAAGTTAACTGATGAATATATACTCTTATTGACCATTCTTGAGAATTAAATTTTTTGTTCATTTTAAGACTGAAGTAGTATCACTTTAAAGGTGGAGTGTATGACGAGTTTATTGTGGCTTGGACTGGGTGATATACAGGTATCATGATAAATACTGGTATAGGAATTTATATTGTTAGTAATATTGTCTGATTCAAAAATACCCAAATATCGTGATATCTGGTAATTATCATGGTATATCATGTAATTTTGTCCAGATAAGATCATCTACACCAGTGGTTCCCAACCTATTTCATCCTTCACACCCCTGTAGCAATCACACACCCAAAAAATTTGTTTCAACCACATTTGCAGCATGTGATGATGTGAGGTGCTCTCTCAACTCAAAATAAATTTTTCTCCTACATCAGTTGGCCACATCCCTGACACCCTAATCTCACATCCCCAGAGGGTGAAAACACCCTAGGTTGGAAACCAGGGATCTAAACAATATCACCTAGCCCTATTGTGACTATATCTTTCTCCCAGTGTTCATTCAATATAGGTTTTTGTTCAAAATGTCCATTTTGGTTTGCCATTTCTGTCAGATTGTTAGAACGGGCAGTCTGATTTTTTCAAAGTAATTTCGATGCAAAAAATCAAAAACTTTGCACCAAAAATGGAAAGCAAATTTCAAAAATGATATGTGCCCATGTTTATATTTTTATCTACTACACTAGTAAGTTATATTAAAATTATCATCAGTAAATGGGCAGATGCGCAATTTTAGGAGGTTGATTTTAGTCTTGAATATATGTGAATAATTTTCAGAAGTACTAGACATGTCCAAAAATCGCATAATTCAATCAAAATATCTCAAACTAAGAATTTCTAGACACACATGGATTTGAAGGCTAAAATTTTGATGGTGAGCTATGAACACTATTACTGATTAGCTTAAAAAAAAATCCCATTTCTGAGACTATGCTATGATTGGTCCAAAAAAATGGTGTCACTTTAAGAAATTTCAATCCACAAAACGAAAAATTGTGCATTAAAAATTCTATGTATTTTTATCTACTACACTAGTAAGTTATATTAATATTATTAGTAACTCGAGCAGTCCATTTTTTTTGTAGGTACGGTAGTAAGTGCAAACTTTATTGACTAAACTTAAATTCAGTTCAATACCACATAGAGTTCCTAGAAATAATATTAATGATCTAATCAAGGATTTGAACAGACTCCAATGAGCAATAGGTAAGCTTATATCTCTGCTTTATTATAGGTAGTATAGGCCCTAAACGGTTTGGGTCAAATCACAAGTGTTGAACTATAAATAAACTTTATTAGAGAGCTTGTTGTTTGGTTATCAGGTAAGTAATATTTTTAATTATCTCTTTATTAATGATCTCATTTGCCTAACAAATTATTAAGATGTAAGGTGAATAGTCTAATATGTCATTTGACTGGCGAATGCAATTCTTTAAATGCATTATAATGATTGACTGATTCATATCAATGCCCATTTTATATACACGTACAGGTAATACAAAGCTAGGCCTATAATGGCTATAGTCCGAAGATTATATTTTATTGTGCCACTTTGGCACTTTGCTCACAACAATATGGGCAAGGGTAAGACTGAATAGGTTTACGCTAGGCTTAGACTACCACATATCTTACACTTACAACACAGAGTTTTCAAATATTTGACTCCTTGATGATAATGAATAATGGCATGCATACCTTGGCCCCTTGGGTTTGACTGTACTATTTCATTTTTAGGTCCCGGTACTGTAGGCCTCAAGAACACAGTCACAAACCCCTTTTAAAATTTGTAGTTCAGGATGGCTTTGGCAAAAAGTTTTGCTTTTATCAATTATGTCTTAACTGCAAACTACGTGCTTGGTAGCTTTATATATAATACACTAGAACAGGATAGATTGACAAAAATAGGCACAATATACATGTAACAGATTATAAATAGACGTTATGATGACACAGTGATAGGCTAGTGATGTTCCAGTTATGTAGTCTAATTGACTATCATAGTGATCGACTTCTTAGCGTTAGCCCAGGGTAAGTAAGGTTAACTCACGATTTTTTGAGTTGAAATATGAATTTAAGCCTTCAAACTGGTACTTTCTTGGAAATTTTACCTTTATTCATGTCTATTTTTAGAATCTGTAAATTCCAAATCGTCATTGACGCCTCGGCGTTCGCGCGGAATTGTGGGAAAGGTCAGAGGTCAAAACTCTATGTTCATAATCAGGGAGCTTTAATATTAAAGCTCCTTGGTCATAATGGTCTGATTTCGTATTAAAACGTTAGGCATATATAATTATTCTAGGCCTATTCTTACAAATGTGAAGTTTGAAAAATCATATTCAAATCAGTATTGTGTTTTCATTGGTAAATATAATTGTTTATATTTAGGCCTACCACTGATCTCCGTTCGCTCACAACGGAAAGCGAAGTAGGCCTGCAACTTATATAGGTAGCCTAATAGGTATTTCCGATCTTTTTATGTTGATTAGTCTGTTTGCCTTTTTTACGCTTGCAACTATTAAACACTGAATTTAAAGGGAAATTAATTTTTGTTATTTATCATAGCCTACCTTAGTCTCAGAAACAAGATTTTTTTTTTAGCAAACCCAATCAGTAATAAAAAGTGTTCACAGCTCACCGTCGAAATTTGAGCTCGCCTTCAAATCCATAGATAGGCCTATGTATACAGAATTATTCCGGTTTGAAAGTTACAAAGACAAGAAGTCTTTCATTGAGACATAGCAACGATGGGTTCCCTTATTTCCATTTATGAAAATGAAAATACTAATACTTATATGAATAGAAAGTAGATATGGTCTAATGACTGGGAAAAATACAAGTTTGTCTCGCATGTCCATAATTAAATCAATAGCTAAATTAGAAGAGAATTACCAGCAGAATACCACTGAGTAGCCGATCAAGAAAGGCCAATAAATTGTTTTGTTTATCCAGACTGTACATACATGAACATTTATGATTGGTTAAAACTCTTAATTATATACAATAAGAACATAATGATATGATTAAGAATACATGATAATTCATAAGAAACACCAATTTATCTAATAGTTTTCTTAATTTGACACTAAAAAATAAGGAAACCCATCTTTAAATGTTTAAACTTTGCCAATTATTCATCATTGGGCCTGATGTCCAAACAACACATTCTATAATATGACCATAAATCTAAGTTATTACGCTTACAAATATTAAGCATATTATGTATTTTTAATGATAATTACTTATTTTCATGGATTTATCGATTCTATTGTATTTGTGTAGTTATGACACCAAATAAGTCCACTGCTGAATATAATAGCCTAATATACGCATTTTGGCCAAGTTCGAAAATCCAAATATTCTGATCATCTTAAGAGGTAGTTTGTCTTCTAGGCTTATATTCGAATTAACATACAAAAAATCTCTAAACATTCATATATACAATATGACACTCGACTATATAAGATCAGTGAATTGATCGAGACCAACCTTAATGTAATGATACGTGAGAACTGAGGACAGTTTGTTTGAAATGAATGCATTTATAGTTTTATCGGAGCAGGTGCACCATTCGTTATAACCAATCATATTTTAGTCTCAGAAACGGGATTTTTTTAGGTAGGCCATTCAATAATAGAAATTTGAGCACGTTTGAATGTTAAAATGTATAGAAAAAAAATATTAAAAGGCAACAATCCCATTATTATTATATTACGACACTAACCGGTTTATATATAGGCCTCATATACGCAATTTAACTAATGGGGAATTCCCGTTATAACTATTTTAAGTTTATTTATCTAATAATAATATCACACCAGCCCTAAAAAAAAGTAGAAATCTCATCCAGTGCGTTGTGAATGGGTATGAGTTTGTTAAATTAGTTAGATGTGGATTGTCTGCTCGAATCTATCTTATCTCTAAATGAATTTTAAGGTTTGTGATCTAACTTTGTTAAGTCAATAAATGCGTCTCTAAATCTCCTTTTCCAATTAAACAACGCGTAAAACCTTATTATTGATTGGCTGTTAATTAAATATATATAGCGATGTGTTTTCCCACTTTCAATTCCGCCTTTCGGCAGTAATAATGCAGACCTTTTGGCATTCCAAGTTCATCCTCCTTACTGCCAGAACCTTAAACGCCTCGGTTACAGACCGTAAAAGATCATTCGAAAATATGATCCGGAAAAAGTGCTATATGGCATTGTTTGCGCATTAATTGCGCAATAAGGCACAAGGAAGTAAAGGAGAGCGTTATAGGACTCCATTTGATTGAATTGTGGTAATTTTATTGTGATTCTGCTAAACGTCAATTTTATTATTTACCACGGTTATGATTACGAAATTCGATCCGCTGGTCTGCATTAAAAGTCATGGAAAGTTTAAATGTGTGCAGGCATGATACAAAGGGAACACGCAAATATTTAGCCCTATTTGTAATTTGAATTTTGAATATGTACTATGCTTCTCATTGAAACCTGTTTTGGTTACGAACTCTAACGACCTTTTTCAGGTAGTCTATCTTAAGAGTAACTTTGATAGGAACATTCCATTTTTAGTAAAATCCTTGTATCTTTTACTACTTTTAGTTTCAGGCTACTTTTTGATAGAGTCTAAAATTTACTCACATTTATTCCTTGTTATTCCGTTTTAGTATAGTATAAAATTATGATACTGAAGGTTTTCCATATTCTATATTTAAATTTACCTGTTACGACGCGCGTATTTGTAATATCTGAGATGGCCCTAATTTTTAATATCATTGTGAGATTTTTGCTCGAAAAACTTGCTTTCGTGGCTGTGAGGAAGGGGGGGGCACACAATACTAGATATTGGGTATCAATAAACGCTCACACCCAGTTCCGTCAAAATCAGTCAAGAGCTTTGTCTTCTAGTGTGTGTACGAGCTAAATATTGAAAGGGGTTTTCAAGAGCAAGGACAATAACTCATACTAAATATTTTCGCTTCTTCTGATTTTCAATAGGGTTTATCTTTGGTTGATAACCAACACGCACACAAAGTTTCGTCAAATCTGTCAAGAATTGTGTTCTCTAGAGTATTTACGAGCTAGGCCTCAAGGGGCTTTGGGCCTTTGCCCCCCACCTCGTCAGGTATTTTCTAGATGTGCCCCTGAATATAATAAGGAACGTTTGCAAATATTAGTGGTAGAAAGCAGGTGAAATATCTTTTATCTATTTTTTTTTAAAACTATATCTGGCATGTGATAGTTATTATTGACAGAGGTAAAAACTTACTGACTCTATATCTGACCTGTGATAGTTATAATTGACAAAGGTAAAAACTTACTGACTCTATATCTGGCCTGTGATAGTTATTATTGATAAAGGTAAAAACTTACTGACTCTATATCTGACCTGTGATAGTTATAATTGACAAAAGTAAAAACTTACTGACTCTATATCTGGCCTGTGATAGTTATTATTGATAAAGGTAAAAACTTACTGACTCTATATCTGACCTGTGATAGTTATAATTGACAGAGGTAAAAACTTACTGACTCTATATCTGACCTGTGATAGTTATT